TGCTGGTAATTCATACAATGACTAGCCTTCAAATGCCCTGTATTTTCACAAGTGGGAAATTTGTTCGACTAAGCCCTTTTCTACTACATACATATTTTTACTGCTATCAGTTTGTGTCCCAACTTGGCAAATCCTGCTTCAGGTTGTAATATATTTCTCAACTTTGAAAATATTGTTGCTTACGGTTGCTCCACAGACTATTCAGAGGCTAATTGTTCAGTTACTTCCAGGGTGACTTCTAAGGTCCAATTTTCCAGGGACTGAGGAGGTTCCCAGAATGTAAGACTTCCAGTGTTTAAGCCAGAAAGGTTCTGGGCAAACTGAAACAAACTGATCGCCCGAACACTTCCAACTCGGCAATGACTCTTTGAATTATCAACTGAACAGTATTCGTAACACCTGTTAGCCCCTCAGGAGCCAAGGAAAAGGTTCAAAATCATTTGTCTTGTTTTTAAACTACTGACGTTGCTTCCTCAAGCAACTGTTTTCACTGAAAGGCCAACAGTTCTAAGTTTATTTTGGTGGCTCATGCCTGTAATCCCAACACTTTGGGATGAGGAGGGAAGACGGCTTGAGACCAGGAGTTCGAGACCAGCCCATGTAACAAAGTGAGACGTCTCTACCAAAAATAGTTAACTGGGCATGATGGCGTGTGCCTGTGGTCCCAGCTACTTGGGAAACCGAGTGGGGAGGTTCACTTGAGCCTGGCAGGCAGAGGCTACAGCGAGTCATGATCATGCCACTGCACTCCAGCCTGGGCCACAGAGTGAGATCCTGTCTCTAACAACAAGAAGAAGTAGTTTATTTTCTCTGGCCACATTTCTGCTGTTGGAATCAAACACAATTATCCCATCATTGCTAAATGGCTTTCCTTGCTTGGCTAACAAGCCACTTGGAAACTTACTTTAGTTACAGCCTCATTTTCCTGTCAAGAAATTGGGTGCTGATACTCCATTTTATTTTATTTTTATTTTTTTGAGACGGAGTTTCACTCTTGTTGCATAGGCTAGAGTGCAATGGCATGGTCTCAGCTCACTGCAATCTCTGCCTCCCAGGTTCAGGCGATTCTCCTGCCTCAGCCTCCCGAGTAGCTGCAACTGCAGATGCTGGCAATCATGCCTGGCTAATTTTTTTTACTTTTAGTAGACATGGGGTTTCACCATGTTAGACGTGCTGGTCTCGAACTCCTGACCTCAGGTGATCCACCTGCCTCAGTCCCCCAAAGTGCTGGGATTATAGGTGTGAGCCACTGTGCCTGGCCAATTTTTTGTATTTTTTTCTTTTTTTTCTTTCTTTTTTTTTGAGATGGAGTCTCACTCTGTCGCCCAGGCTTCAGTGCAGTGGCATGATCTTGGATCGCTGCAACCTCCGCCTCCCAGGTTCAAGCAATTCTCCTGCCTCAGCCTCCCGAGTAGCTGGGACTCGTGCCACCATGACTGATTAATTTTTTGTATTTTTAGTAGAGATGGGGGTTCCACCATGTTAGCCAGGATGGTCTCATCTCTTGACCTCATGATCTGCCTGCCTCAGCCTCCCAAAGTGCTGGGATTACAGGCGTGAGCCACTGTGCCCAGTCCAGTTTTTTGTATTTTTAGTACAGATGAGGTTTCACCATGTTGGCTAGGCTGGTCTCGAACTCCTGACCTCAGGTGATATGCCTGCCGTGGCCTTCCAAAGTACTGGGATTGACAGGCATGAGCCACAGCACCCAGCTGATACTCCATTTTAAACATCTAACTCTTCTGATGCTTTCCTATGAGTTGGGACTACTCCAATGATGAAATGCACAATCTGTAGTGCATCCAGCAGCAGTGCTAAGCAGAGGACCACATATGGTCTGTTACAACTGAGTTCCCATAGCAGAAAAGTAGCCAGAGACAACATATACACATGAGTGTGGCTGCATTCCAGTAAGTCTTTACTTATATACACTGAAATGTGAATTCTCTATCATTTTCATGTGCTGTACTTTCCCCCCAACCACTTCAAGAAATTGCCTTTGATGCATTAAAGTGAGATTTTAGAATTCATATTAGCAGTCTCATACCACAATCAGCCAGGGCTACAATTTCCAGTCACAGTGACCAGTTACCTTGGCTTTGGCCACGCTGTATTCCAAACAATAGTAATGGAAAACCCCATTCTGAACTTGTGTCAACTTTATTCATTTGCCATTCAAAGGCCATTTCTGTGGCATCTATTCACTCAACACTCCATCTTATGGCCAATACACAACTTGCGAAATGTCGGGCTCCAAATTTTTTCCTGTATAGCTTTTTGTCTGATTATATATGATAGCAAAACAAACCTCATTAATTTTTAAAAATTAAGAAAGGGAAAAATGGCTGGCCTGGTGGCTCATGCTAGGAATCCCAGCACTTTAGCAGGCTGAGGCAAGAGGATCGTTTGACCCCCAGAATTCAAGAACACTGTGGGCAACACAGCGAGACCTGTTTCAACTAAAAAAACATAAAAGAAACAGGGAAAAACCTAATTAGTTTGATAACTGAATTAATTCTGATATACACTTTTCCATTAAAAAAAAAAAAAACACTGTTTTTTTACAAGAAATGTCTATAGCTGGCCAGGTGTGGTGGCTCATGCCTGTAATCCCAGCACTTTGGGAGGCCGAGGCGGGTGGATCACTTGAGGTCAGGAGTTCAAGACAGGCCTGGCCAACATGGTGAAATCCTGTCTCTGATAATACAAAAATCAGCTGGGCATGGCGGTGCATGCCTGTAATCCCAGGTACTCGGGAGACTGAGGCAGAAGAATCATTTGAACCAGGGAGGTGGAGGTTGCAGTCTAGCCTGGGTACCACTGAGTGAGACTCCATCTCTAAACAAACAAATAAGGGGGGTGGCAGGTGGTTGTTCAGGGAGAAATACTCAGTTCATCTTGCCATGTACATGTATGTGTTTGAATGCACATGCCCCTTAAGATCAAACACAACAGACGTACGTCTTCACATGGAGAACTTTATCTGATGCTTTCCCAGCGGAAACCAGATGGCTGTCCAGATGCAAAGTTTGAGAGATGGTTCAAATAGGGCATTATTTAACAAATACATACTAAATCTTCTATGTGCCAGAACAATTCTAGAGATCTAATCTGCTCTTTGCATGTACTTAAAACCAACTCTATTTTGCATCAGAATACCTAGCTCAATATCATATGCAAGACTTAAAAAATTATAAAGAATGCTTAGTGGCAATGAATTAAAATTTTTTTTAGAGTGACAATGAATTTTATTACACTTTTAAGTTCTAGGGTACATGTGCACAATGTGCAGGTTACATATGTATACATGTGCCATGTTGCTGTGTTGCACCCATTAACTCGTCATATACATTAGGTGCATCTCCTAATGCTATCCCTCCCCGTTCCCCCCATCCCACGACAGGCCCTGGAGTGTGACGTTCCCCATCCCGTGTCCACATGTTCTCATTGTTCAGTTCCCACCTATGAGTGAGAACATGCGGTGTTTGGTTTTCTGTCCTTGTGATAGTTTGCTCAGAATGATGGTTTCCAGCTGCATCCATGTCCCT